GAACGAGCGTGTGTGTGGCATGGGAAGCGAAACCGCGGCTGTGGAGAACGGTCGGTTCGTCGATTGCGAGCGGCCAAATACGTGGTTACGTGTTACGTGAAAGATAGCAGCACAGTGTGTTGTGTCTTACCTTCGTTCTCGAAACAGGCACTAGGCACAGAGGCCATTGCTGCATCATCTGTCTCCTCTGGGAGCCGGACATCCTGGCGGCTGTACTCAACACGCTTTCCCGACGTCGAATCTGACTCCGCTCTCGTCCTCTATCCGCGGCAAGATTTCCGTGTTCTCTCGTTCCCCCTGTGTATCGCCTCTTTCCCCGGTTTCTCGATCTTCCTCGGACAGCTGCGAATCTCCGTCTCCTTCGAATAGATCGATCGTGCGCGCCAAAAAGATTGGGCGAGGTGTGTTCTCTCTCGATGAACGTACTGTCTGGTGCGAGGCTGCGCAGAAAGGAGATGGCTCTCCGAAGCGGTTAAAGGTTGAACGATGCGGCTGTGCCGCGTGGACGATGATCCAGCGTGCGTGCTTGGTTGCTTCAGCTTAGCTTAGCTGCTGCAGTGGCCCTAGTTGGTACCACCGGTCACACAACCCTTTCGTTGCGTCGCGGCCTGTGATGCACCCTGACACGCCGGGCCTTCCCTTGTTTCTCGGTTCGCCTCGTCTAGCCTCGTCTGACCACGCAGCGTCTCATCTCACTTGCTCGTCGTGGCCTGCTGGCCTCTCAACTATAGGCTCTCCGGGCTCTCGCTCCGTTTTCGTGCTCGCCGCTTCGACTGCACCTGCAGCGTCTGCTACATCCACCGCCTCCTTCGTGGATAGTCGTTTCGAACCGTCCCCGACCGACTTGACTCGTTTCCACGATGACTAGATCGCGTTTTAGTAGCTATATTTAAATGTCTCTACTGCTTCTTCCTCTTCTTCTTCTTCTTCTTCTTCAGCTGCTTCTGCTGCTCGTGCCTCTTCGTCGGTAGTGTCTCTCCCGATCCTCGTCACAACTTTCGTCCGTTCCGGCCTGTCTGTTTATCTATATATATCACAGTATATAGCGTGTACATACACACCAGTGGAACATATGTGCATATACTCGTACACATATACCCTGATACCGGCCGTCCGCACGTTGTTGCTAGCCGTGTACGCTTCTTGGACCGTTGGAAATATGAATGAAATGCGCTTTTACGTATGTTTTGGAACTTTGCTAATCAGATCGGGGGGTTTGTCTCTTTTATATAGAGGCTTGTGCGGCCGTAAGCGCCGCCTCCGTCGTTGGGGCGCGCACGGCTGGTGGGGGCACGCATGCTTACCCCGTGCCCCTTGATCCCCTCGCCGGCACCGCTCCTTGCATACCACCCCTCTTCCCATCTGCTTGTTCTGGCTCCCCACCCTGGCTGTGCCCCGGCTGAACGCACCGTGTTGCGATGGGTCGCGTAGCGCGCGTCGCGTCGTGTCGGGTCGCCAGGCGTCCCTTTTGCCGCGCTTCTCACGCGAATCTATCGCCGGACACCATAGAACGCGCGCGAATCAATTCCCGTGGACCTCCTACGTACACCGGTCGCCATTAATGCCCGCGATCCTATCAAGCTTCAGCCGCGATACGAGAGATCCGCTCCGTAAGAAGCGCGCCGCGAGGAATCCGGGATCAGCGTCGGGAAGACGGACACGCTATCGACCGCCATAGACAGGATTTCTCGCGCGCGGCTCCGGTCCTCCTCGTCGGCGATCCGATCGCCAGGACTCTCGTCTTTTGAGCTTCCCGCGGAAGGTTCCAGTCGTTCGACCTCGTTCGATCGCGACCGTATACAGTCCCTCCCGATCGCGCGGACGCGTGCACGCTCCAGCGCGGATTCCGTCTGTCGCTTTCTCGTCTGCCCGCTCCGCTTTGCTTCCACCTCGGACGTTGATCCGATCGAAAGATTCGTGTTCACGACCGGGACGGTCGCACCGCCGATCGTCCGTCGTTCGAACGGTTCCAACACCTCGGCCGACCTTTCTCACCGCACGGAAATAGGACCATCGACGGGACGAAGAAGAAAGAAAAAAAAAACGCGCGAAACGGCGACACGGGTTTCGCATTTACGTCGTAGAACCGCGGTATCTCGCGCTCCCACTATTTTCAGCTTCGCGCAAAACGCAGTAACGATAGAACGGACGTTCTCGCGATGAAAAAAAGGATGCCACGGAATAACCGGTTCGCTTTGCGTCACCCGCGATTTCGTTTTTACTGTTTACCATTTTTGCTCTTCTTGCCTCGCATCCTCGCGAGCCTCGTGTGTCTAGCATCGCGAATGGAAACGATCGGCTGCATCGTTTCCGGCCGAAATGACGAAACCGGGAAGGAAGAAGGCCCCCCCTCGACTTCGTCACGATGAGTCGAGCCTCCTCGATTTCGTCGGTTGAACCTTAGAACCGATTCCGTTCGGAGAAATATCGGTATCGGTTCATCGGTTCCGAGTACGATACGTGTTGCGTTACTCGGCTCCGCGAGCTGACTCCCCTAGCGATTCGATCGTGAAACGAAAACCTCGCGGGGAAACGCGTCTCTCGCCTCGAACCGGAGTGAAATTTTTCCAAGAAATTTCGGCTCCCCGCGCCGAGTCCGAGAGCTTGGAGGCGTGCGTCGCGACCCCGTCGCGACGTTCGATTCTTTGGATCGACGCGGCGAGCACCTTTTCAGGTGATATCTGCGACGCACCGCACGTTCTTCTAATGCGCACTGTTTACACGCCTCGGCGAAAACATCGTCGGAAAAATAGGTTTTTTTCCTCCCGCGGAGCGTGCATCGTGTTTGTGCGGATTTGTGTTTGAATAATCAGCCTGCTGACCGCCGCCGCGGCTCCGATCAACTTTGATCTCTGTTTTCTTTCTGGCCGGCGAGCACGCGCCGATTCGGCGGCGAACAGGAATATTGGGGACGAGCGAAGGGGAAGCGGATCCCGGCGATGGACGCGCTCGATTATTTTCCGCGTGGAACCGGGAGAGGCGAGATTTAAACGTTATCGCAGGAACCACCGGCCGCGTCCTGAACTTGACCCCGTCTCGTGTAACCGCGACTGCGATTCGACGCATCGGGCTTGAAATTCCCTTATCTGCGTCGTTGGTCGCGCCCGTTAGTCCCGTCGGGATATCCCGGTGGTCCAGAATTTACGAGCTACGACGACGACTGAGTCTGTTGCGTCTCTCGTTCGCGAACGAGAGACGCAACAGAGACACGTTCGATCGTGGACCCGTTCCTTTCTCTCGCTCCATTCCTCGGCCCTCCTCGACGGTCAGAGTTCCCGGCAATTGTCGCGTATCGTTACATCACGGAACACGGTCAACAGCTACGATGATCGATAGAGGTTAATCGATGAAACGAATCGTTAGCGGCCGCCGAAGGAAAAATACCTGGCAGTTTCGTCTCGATAAAATTCTGCGGGCGCCGCTATGACGCATAGCAGAGGCGATTACGCGGAGAGCGAAGACTCGACGGTGCGTCCTCTCATCGCTCGCGTGCCAATTGATTTACGTCGGAACGAGTTCTACGACGAAAGTATCCAAAAATTCCGAAACGTGGGCAGCGACGCACCGATCGAGACCGAAGACGAAAGGGGCTCGTCGAACGGAGCTGGCCTAACTCGAGCGTTAACATCGATTCTTCGGGTATCGGATCGCGTGTAATTATTATGCGTAGCTAGACTCGATTCCGATGTATACACGATCACCGCGGTGTATACACGACATCTCGCCGCGACTGTAAAATACGTAACACGCATAAAAACATCGTTAGCCTGTGCGATAATCGAATCGTTGTTTTTCTAAGCACTGCCGTTCGCTTCGAACGTTTATAGCCGAAAATTGATGAAGTGCGCGAACGTACGAGAAGCGATTACTGCGTCGTCTAACTGGTGGTCGATGGTCTAGACGTGTATCTCGCTTGATAACTATCGCAATTTCATCATCGTTAACACAGTACACGACCGTAAAACTGGTACGGTTTATCGCGATACGTTCGTCCGATAAATTCTTCCCCGTACTGCAATCAGCCGCGATTGATCCTACTCGAATTTATTTCTAATCACGGGATCGTCGATAAATTGTGTTCTTGGGTTAGATATCGGTCAATCACGGACAGGTACGAGGGTCGTGCTGTCCGGGGAAGGACTCTTGTAACAGGAACGCTGACGCTTTCGTTCCGTTCATTCGTTCGCTCGTTCGTTCATCGACGAGGCACTTTTACCGCGACGGGAAAGAGACGAAAGGCAGGCGGCGAAGAATGCTCTAGAACAGCCGGTCACGATTCTAATACAAGCTAGTTGTAAGAAGCGAGGCGCGTGCGTACGCGATATCGTCGCATCGGCTCATGTCGCCGTCTCGTTCAGCGAATTGGCCTGATGCCCTGCTCGTTCTGGACTCGGGGGCACGGTTAACGCTGTTTGCCCGGATCCCCCGGTAGGGGTCAAGTAGAAACAACCCTTCGGATCGCGAACGGCGGCTATTAATCCAACAGATTGTTTCTTTGGAGTTCTCGTCGTCGTCGTCGATCAATCTGTTGTGTTCGACCCTCTTTCGATCAAATATTCCGCTGTAACTGTTCGCATTTTATATTCCGTATCACGTTCGGAAGACACGGATCGAATCCGAGCGACGGAGCAGATATTCCCCTGACCGGCGCCTCCAGTTTAACGAATCTGAAACATCGTGATTAGTAGCTCCGCATTTGGTTTCATTAGACGAAACTATAACCGCGAGACCAATGGAAAAGACGCGACAAATTGAATACCACCAATCAGAATCCTGATTTTCTCGGCGAGATCACAGATTACGGAGTTGCGTTACGAAGCAGTTAGATTTCCTGCCCTTTTCATCTTCCAGCTCGCGCGGACCTCAATTGATTCCTGCATCCAGCGTGGCGAAACGCGTTCGTTAACTTTTCCGACGAATTAGTCATTTAACGTCGCACAGCTGTTCAAACGGAGAGGCGACGGATTAGCGACTAAAGGACAAACGAAACCGCTGCTCCTTTGTTTATCATCTGATTCGTTTCTCATTTTCCAGACGCGTGCCTGCGATGCCAAGCGGAGAGTAAGAAGGACTTCTACGGCCGGCAACAGGACTGCGTGGTCGTTTGGGGAGAGTGCAATCATTCTTTCCATTACTGCTGCATGTCTCTCTGGGTGAAGCAGAGTAACCGTTGTCCCCTGTGCCAGCAGGAGTGGTCCATTCAACGAATGGGAAAATAGTTGCACCGCGCCGACAGAATGCTGACGAAATCCTTTCCTTTTCTTGCATCCTCGGCTCCACCCTCGTCCACCTTCGCCTACGTTCCTACGCTTCCCTCTTTCTCATCCCCTTCCTGAAACTCTCTTACGCCTGTCGGTTCCCTCGTTTCCCCGCGTGGAATTCCAAGAATCGTCGGCCACGCTGATGCGTCCGAAACGCCGACACCGTATCCGGCGTCCGAACCGTGGTCCGTTCAACCTCGATTTCGAACGAAACGCAAACGCCTCGGCTTTCAAGATCATTGCCAGCAAAAGAGAGCCTGTTTCCTCGGACCATTCTCCTCTCTTCCAGCCGATCCGTCCGGTCCAACGATCGATCGATCGTCCGAAGGCGGGGTTCCGCTCGCGGAGCGGCGAGATCGAATCTGAAACAATGACGACGCCGTTGCGAATTATGCTCGTGTTGTAATCCCAAAGCGCAAAGTGCATTCCTTCCGTCTGGCTACGAGCGATCGGGGGATCACGAGATCCCCGATAGATATCGGAAGGTTTTTTTGCACGGAAACGATTACTCAACGGTCGCTCGCTCGCCGCGCGCATCGCGAGCGCGCTCGCTTTTTTACTTCTAATCTGTCGCTCGTCGATCGAACTTAAACTAAGCCTATTCCGACGGCGTTTTTTCGAGCGTTTCAGCGAACACTCGGCGCAATTCGGTCGTGTTGAGATGCGGTTGAACATCGACGAGGCACGCGACGGGCACGTAATCGCGAGCCGAATGCTCGAAGGTCGCTCCTTTCCTCTTCTCTCTGTCCCCCCGGCCGTTCCGCGTATCTCGCCTCTTTTTCCCACCGTCGTCGATCCTACCACTCCCGTCTCTCGTTCACAGCTCGTTTCTTCCTTTTTCCATCGCTGTATCCCCGCTTTCTGGGCGCCCGGCTGGCGTTACGTGTCGTCATCAGCGGCGGAGGCTCGACCGGAGGCTCGACCAATCGTATCGTAGAAGGGTATAACTGCCTCCGTGTATTTATGACCTCGCAGTTGCCGGCGCACCTCCTCGCCCCTCGCCGCCCCCTTTCTCTATCCGTCTCTGTTCCTCTATCCACTTACCCTCCACCTTTCCGGACCCACATCTAATGTCTCCCCCCGCGCTCCCCTGCTCCTCCGACATTCCACACCCGTGTCCCCTTGCCCACAGATTCTCCACCGGTACTCCTTCTCCTTCCTTCTTCCTTCTCACCGAATTTTGTCCGTGTAAATTTCTATTCTGTCAACCGAGGAAAAACAGTTGATTTCCTCGCAATGACTCATTCGCTTTCTTATTGTTTATTAACCCGTTGCACCCGGGAGCCGACCGCTAGTTGCCGGACGATTTGGTACAGCGAAATTAGAAACTTCGGTATTTACCGTCAACCTTTGCGTACCGCACCGATATCGCGTACCAGTGGAATTTGAAGGAAAATAGCTTTGTTGCCTAACTTATGTATGGTTTCTTGTTACACTCGTTTCGAAGGATCTCGTCGACGTCTAATTAGAAAGTATGGAATGCTTCGAGTGAAAAACTTTCGAGTGCAGGGGGTTAATTAACACGTTGAATGCCATGACCGGTGACCCCCGGCCGAATCGAATCACTGTAGTCCAATTAAACGGCGATTATCTGAAAACATTTGTACATTACAATGCTACCCAATGCGTCGATTGAGCAAGATGAGCGCGCAATAAGAACAACGCGGTTCGAATGATTTGATATTATACCTTCACCATTTTCCGTATTTTACTCTATGAAATCGTGCGGCGTTCGACGTGTTGAAGATAACCGCCGACCGATCCCACCATAAAATCTGTAATACCGTAGATCCCGTTCTACAATGCTGGTATTTATCGCAACGGAGAAATCACTTCGGATCGTTCTTATCAATCCGGGCCTGTATCCATATGGTTGATCTTCCGCCGAAACATCACCACCTGTTGTGACAGATCGAAATCTATTCGTAAAGAGACCTTACTGCAGACGGTGTATCAATAGGATTTTCTGAACGTCGACGTTTTATTGATCACCCGGCACGTGAACTTTGGATCAAACTTTTAAACGATCGATCGATCGATTAGAATGAAATTTACGAACCGTTCCCGGTGACGTGCGTCGGCACAATTCTACAGCTGTTCCATTATAATTCCACTAGACGTCGTTTCAGATAACACATACGCGGCAGACAATTCGAAATGATTAGTTTAATGACTCTTGGCTTACCGACTTTTCGAATTCATTTCTGTGTCGGCGATGAAAGCGCCTAGCATTGTTTCGGTGCGTATAATCCGAGGCGGAGTAGTTATAAAAACCGCTGAGTCAGGGAAGACGAGCAACGTTGGTTGCATCTTTTTTTTTTAGTACAGTTTCCTCCAACACTATCTCGAAAGGAATCGATGAATCGTGATTAATGTGTTTCGAGGAAACTCGTATCGAAGCTACGCCTATATGTATATATATGAATTTTATATATATGTGTATATATATATACATATATACATACATACATACATACATATATATATATATATATATACATGTGTGGAAACAAAAATAACAGTTAGGCGTCGATACGAAATGACGCAACGACACGCAAATTTGTTCGTCACGCTTCTCTCGAAAGGCGAACGTGCCACGAGTCGAGGTCGACTTGAGCCGAGCCTCCGCGTAGCCGGCTTTTCATTGGCTCCACTAATCGAAGAACCGATGTAGATACATATATATGTCCTGAATTCATTCCCCGTAATCTATGCTTTTTTTGTTCGACAATTCACGTGTTGTTCGTCTTATGCGAATTACTATGACCTTTGAAATGTTAATTACACGGCTATTACGGAACCTATCGGTCTATAGAATTGCTCTCCTTCATACGTACCGTCTTCTGTTCATTACCGCCACGCGATTTCTCTTCGCGATATGACGCAGGAATTCGTTACGTTACAGGGAGTATATAAGAATTTATGGTGTGTGATGCGCTCACGCATTTCGGAGCGTGTACGTGCAGACGAGCAGGAACGCGGAGCAAGAAGTCAGCGGCGTGCAGCTTCAACACGCGTCGTTGCGTGTGCGTGCGTGTCCGTCGTGTGTGTCTCTGTGTGTCTCTGTGTGTGCCTTTTAGTCACGAGTACCGCTCGGTTTTTTCCTATCACCTTTGAAACCACATAACCGGAATGATTGAGGCTCGAAGAATGTACTTTCTTTAATATTCAATTGAACGATTGTACCTTGCGTAGCATCGGGTTGGAGGTTCGATGAAAAATTCTTTTTCGAATTTTATACGTTATACTTTCATTCCGCGGCGGCGCGGGCTTTCGAGGTTAATCGTGGAACGTTTTCTTTTCATGCCGCAATGCGATTAATGAGAAAACCCCTGTTAACCTGCTAAATTGTCGAGAGACGTCAGTGGCGCCAATGGTCGAGCACAATGAGAAGGTCGCTTCGGTCAAACGGAGGCTCGTCGTATTTTACCAATCAGCTAATGGTATTGCAGTGTTTTTCGATTCGAATCGTTGACTGCGAACTCGTATTGGTGTTAGCTCCATTCAAACCCCACGGATCGGGGCGGAGCGAGTTGGATGATTTTATATCTTTTTTCGAATCGTTGGACGATGATCAGTTTGGAAGTTTCCTGCGTCATCCTCGAGGAGATACGAATATTTCGTATGATTTATCGTGACGCGTTGTTTACGTTAATTGCGTTAAAATTAATTGTATACACCATGCGTACGGTAATGAAAGTAAGTAGTATTGGTGTTAATTGTTTTCAGTTGTTGATGTTCTTTCGGTATGACACTGAATTATTATTTGTGTCGACTTACCTTGCTATGAAAATTTATTCGGATGGAAATAATTTATGATATTGTTCCTAGCCTAAAAAGTGTATCATTTAGTAAAATAAGATATAGTTGTGAATAAATATTTCTTTCTCCCTTCTTGTGTTTTACAGTTTCGATAATGGCAGTGTTCGATATGTAGGCAATTATACATTTTTATACGCCTTTTTCCCAAATCTTTTCAGGTATTGTTTTTACTAATGATATTAACTTTTAACGTTTCGTAAAAAATTCGTATGCTCGATTACAGGAAGTACTTTGAAAACGTTGTTATACGTTAAATGTTATTTCAATATTCTAACCAGGTTTGAATAATGAAATAATGAAAAAAAAATAGTTGATATTAAGTTAGTCGAATTAAATGTTTCGCGTCTTAGAATTGTTCATAATTTGATATTGTTATTCTTCATACATTTGTTTCGGAAATGGGAGCATCTTTATATAAGTAGTTCGTGTTCTTTAATATGTATTCAATGTATATTTTAACAAACAAGTTACAGCAAGTTCTCGAAAATCTCTAGCCTTCAATCTTTACCAGTTCTAGAGATTTCTTGAACGGCAATACATCAAACAACTATTTCCAACAGTCGAAATTTCAAGGCGATTCTGTGTCTTTTTATTTTTCTTGATATTTTCTTTTTAAGAAAACAGCATATTAAAAATATCTGGTCAGAAATGGTACTAGTTCTCGAAATTTTCCATACATCCGGACGGCACCTTTTACAAATTTTCGACGGAATACTGTATTTACATAAGAAACAAAAGATTTTCATAATAAACACTTATATAAATATATATATATATAAGTTTCCGTTTTACCTTTCAGCTTGATATTCTACTGTATTCTTTTATTTACTCGTGTAGTAAAGCATATCGAATTGCTTCGTATGTAAACAAAAATACGATTTCTTTGTACGTTACTTCTTTCATACAACTGACGAATGTTCTTAAAAGGTATATCTGTTACAAATTAATGATGTAATCAGTTCTTCCTATCTGCATAACATTTCCATATCTTCGAGACAACATTTAATAATATCTACACTTTGTAAATATTCTATTGCTAGGTATACCTTACATAACCATAATTGTTTATTTGATCGATGGCTTTCTTCATCCGTCTTATTTTTTATGTCTTACCTGATTTAAATAAATGGCATTTTAAATGATTAAGATTCGATCTAACACATTCCTATAGAGAATGATTTATCGCTTGAAGGTTTTCGCTAGATTAACGTACTACGGGTGCTTATATTCGAATACAGATCAACAATCAGATTCATGACTTCCGTTCAGAAGTACTTTTCCACTCTACGCCTAGAATACTATCAAACTTATTTATCCTCTTTCGTTCAGCAATAATACTCGAGATACTGAATTATTTAAAAATTGTTAAATGTAAAATACTTTTAGTTAATATCAATCACTTTATCGCAATACTTAATTACCGCAAATGCATCAGTCTCCAAAAGTCATACGAGTTCTTGCATGCTTGCAGCAATTTTTTGTTTGTAGAATCAAATAAATTAAACGTAAGCTCTAATTTGAAATAAAAAGGTGCATCATTGACAAAACATTACTGCCTTCTTTTATCTATGTTTTGGTGGTAAAATTTGCGTTATACGCTTTCGAATTAAATATGACTATCCGATTGTTACCTTAAGTACAAGCGTAATAGCAGCGTTTATGAAAATATTACTGTAGAGCTAACGATAACCGATGTTTTTTTCTCTCTTTCAAATGAATCCACAGCTAAGCTGACTGGTAGACGAGGAACAGTGAAACTGCTATCAAGTTAAGTAACAATGCTTAATAAAAAATGAAACGGTGCTCATTACGAAGGCACTTAGTGGTACAATGTCTTATTGTATTAATTTTTAAATAACTCGACATAAAAAATACTTTTTACGACAGCAATGCCCATCACAGGCAACACAGACATTCGTAAATTAATAATATAACACTTTTAAGGTAAGGCCACACTGGAATGTAAGATCATCTAACAAAGGCCACTTGAATGTTCTCGGACACTTGTGTTTTGTACAGCAGAGGCTGTTCACAAGAAATACACCTCGGTTTTCTTGTGTCGTTCCTAACAGCAAACGGCGACAGTAAAAGGCAGACATCTCAAAGATTTTCGCTTTCGATGAAGATTTCGTCATGTCCCGGTATCTCAGATTCTTTCGCAAACAGGACAATCTCAGGGGAGCTCGACAAACTAGCGAGTACACCTTGGAGAGCGTTATTCTACACTTTAACACATAACAATATTTAACGTATGACTGTGTAGATACGGTTATTCGCGTAATTAGCATCCGTACTGATAAATCAATTACCACAATCTTGCTTCTTTCCATCGACTCGTCAACAGTTTGTATGCCTGGAGCCCCTCATCAATGGGATCAAAATACTCGGACTTTGAGCTTGCCTAAGAAACGGATGTTGCAATAATTCGGTTGCCGTAGCTCTTTGCGCCGGATCACGGACAAGCATTCTTTCAAGAAAGCCTTGAAGTCGTGGGCTGACCTGACAAATAAAGATAAAGGTAATTAATCGTCCTGTCAGAGGGTCATTTGTTAGAAGATTGCTCAGCGCGTGTAACGTACTTTATGAGAATTTTTTAATTTTGGTGGAGGCATATCTCTGATACGTCTCATGGCTTGTAAAGGGGGTTCGTTAAAAAACGGTGGTTCTCCGTCGACCATCTCGATAATCATTATACCTAATGACCAAATGTCTACCTCGGGTCCGTATGGTAACCTGAAACGTGAAACATAATAATTTGTAAATGAATATTCAAACAAACAGGAAGAGTTCAAGAATTGTACTGCACCTAGAGATAACTTCAGGACTCATCCAATACGGTGTTCCTACGAGAGACTTTCGCCTAGGCAGTTCTTGAGAAACTTGAGCGCAAAATCCAAAATCGGATAACTTCACTCTACCGTCAGCCGTGAGCAATATAGAGTCCGATTTGATATCCCTATGAATGACACCTTGAGAGTGTAAATATGCGAGTGGTTTCAAGCATTGAGAGCAGACAGTAGCTATCTGGCTTTCATCCATACGCGAATGCGTAACAATATCTGTGAGCGCTCCTCCCTCGAGATATTCCATTACAACCCACAATTCGTCGTCTACTAGGAAACTATCATACATCTCGACAATGTTCGGATGATGATAATCTCTCATGATAACTACTTCGTTGAAGAGTAACTCTCGCCTCTGTTGTTTCCGCAGATCCATCTTCTTTACTGCGACTTGCCGATTTGTATTCTTTTCAGTTGCTATACACACCGTTCCGGTACTACCTTCGCCAATCTTAAGGAAATTCTCTAAATTCTCTCTTGGATCGCCTCGACTTACCTAGTTTTAATATGCGGAGAAATATTTAGTATACCACACGTAGTTCGTGTTCATTTACAATCTTACATTTTGGTAGCTTACCACCATCTGTAAAGCTGCCCGAAACTGTTCGTGTGTAAGCCTCTGTTCCGCAGCTGTTTGTTTAGTAGAAGCACTTGAACTGGAACCGACTGCCAGATTGCCCGAAGATAAGGCACTTTTCATATTTTGATTTTGATCCGGTGTAGAACTGCTTCCAGAAGATGGTACATTTGACTTGGATAAGTTATGCATCGACTGAGATATCTCGATGGGCTTCTTCATTTGAGATTGCAGAATTGATGGATTCTCTTGTATACCATACGCTTGAGAGTATTTATTAATATTATGCGAACTCAATTGACTTAACGGCCGCTGAGAAGCTATAGATCCTACTGGAGAAATTTTAGGCTGTATCTTATGTAGTATAACATTTTGAGGTGCTTGTTGATCTCTGGCAGATGTGTCCGTAGTTGAAACCTATTGACAAAAGAGTGAAGTTTGCGGATGCTATGTTAATCAGTAGAGCAATAATTAATAGCTATAATGAAATAGTTTGAGAAATAGTTGTTTACCGGAATGTTTCCATTGTATTGACCAGATACAATCGTCATTTGGGAGTTCAATCTATGAAAATCAGATTCTGCAAGTTGAGGGGTACTTGGATTTGATACAGGACTTTGTGGATTCATGATAGGACTTAAATTCTGAAAATTTAAAGATAGATTTGGGGCATTTAATCCAGTTTGAGTTAAATTCGGAGATGATTGCATATTTGGATTGAGATTCTGGAGATTCGGAATCATATTTTGTACATTAGGGTTTAATCCAGGTGTGATATTAGGAGAATTTTGACGTAACTTATCAACATAATTATGTTGTTTTCCAAAATTCGTGTATCCTTGTATTTGATTCGCGTTAGATGGTACTTCTTGACCTTCTGGTACAGAAGGTGGCAGATTACTATTATGCCTGCGAAAATATTAATAGGAATATGAAAAAAAATATAAATATATTTAACTGTATATTAGAAGAGAATTACCTATAATCCCTTCTGAGCCTTGGTGGGCTAGAAGAACGAAGAGAATTCGATCTGGCAACTGTACTAGTCTTCGGTAGTCCATTTTCTGTAGTTTTATCAGTGAATGATATTCTTGTTTTCAAATCATTATGACCTCGTACTATAGTTTTCAAATCAAGAATTTCTGTCGGTGTTATTTCGCTGGGATCCACCAAAGGTAATGGCCTGTTTGTAGATTTCAAGATTTGATTGTTTCCAACTATAGAGGCCCATTGCAATGGAAGTCCAATGAATTTCCCTTCACGCTTATCAAATCCGGTATGCACACGATGCTCAAAATTTGTAGGAGTTGATATCTGTGGTTTCTTCTTCTTTTTGGCGAACATCGCCCTTCCTATTATAAATAATATCAGTATAGTGCGGTAATACGTTATAACAAATAATATCCTGTTCGATATACGCATTCACTATGCTCCTATAATTACATAAGCAATACATTAATTGTTTCTTACAAACAAAAAGAAGTTTGATCAAATGTGTCAATCATTCTTTGCATGTGTTTAACTTGTAAAGATCGTTTTCAAATTGTGTAACGCGTATCGTACGAATATTATTAACGATTAATACGTTTCAGAGAAGAAGCTGAGACGCGTATTATTTAAAATTTCGTGAAATTAATAAAGACGAAGGAAAGCAAAATGACAGGAACGCCTACCAGTACGCAATGCACCGCCTTTAAGTAGTTTCTTTCAATTGTCGGTTAAGTCTTCCAAGGTTCAAACTGCTCCTGTTATTTCACACCGGTTCGAGAATACAGTAAATTGAAGATAGTGACGAAACATATGAAAATCCCTTCGGTAAAATAGGTAAATACGACATTTAGCCTTCCGACAGGCCGTTTACACACCGGCGCTCCGCGCGGAGAGCTTATGAATCTTTCCTGGCATTTGGCTCATGACAATTTACTTAAATGTGCGTGAGCTAGCACCTGCAATGAGATTACTACAATGAATATAACGCACGGAAAACTGTGTCGAGAGAAAGCGAATTATCGGTCGTGCTTCGACGAGGAAAACATTACCAATTTACGATCACTGCACCGTGTAAAATTTTATTCGAATGATTACCGTTATTATCGTTTTTATTCACCGATAGAATAACTTCTTACATCGAACGTATACTTCTCACGAACATCAATTGCAACAAATCTCTCGAATTCTAAATCTTTCATTTTTTATAATCAGCTAATTTTTACCAAACGATATAGGAAAATTTGAATAATTAATAACCGAAAATTGTAAATGTTTACTAGATTTACACAATACTTATGACATCGAAGATAAAAAGAAAATGGCTTCCCAAAGATACTTCTATAATTAACTAATTTTACCTAACGATATAGGAAAATTTGAATAATTAATAACCAAAAATTGTAAATGTTTACCAGATTTGCACAGTACCTATGACATCGAAGATAAAAAGAAAATGGCTTCCCAAAGATACTTCTCGAACGACATGAATTGCAACAACAAATCTTTCATTTTTTATAATCAGCTAAATTTTACCTAACGATACAGGAAAATTTGAATAATTAATAACCAACAATTATAAATGTTTACCAGATTTGCACAATACCTACAACACCGAAGATAAAAAGAAAATGGCTTCCCAGAAGATCGTACAGGAAAGAACGATCGCCATCGCGACGAACCACGTTGTTCCAGCCCGACTAATTTTTTTGAAATGGGAAAAGATGTGGCCGTACGATTAGCACGATCGATTCGTTCCTGCCGATACTCATACAAAACGTGTGTGCACGTAAGAAGATGAATAGTTTTCCCTTCCGTTCGAAAGTTTAATCGGATAAACGGTCTGCGATAGTTACCCTTAAGTTCGCAACCATTCGATCTGACATAAATTATAGGATACGACGATAATGTAGAGAAAAAAATGTCAATTGCACACAATGTTGCCGGATGAAATATTCACTAGTTCCCTATCACTTTGTACTTCATACTTGAACTTTTCACAAAGGTACTCTAACGTGTAGTTAACATTTCTGCCGAGACAGCTAAAAGGGCACGTTAGCAAAGTTTACTCGAACGCGCGCGAGCTTTACCATGAGTATTTCGAATTCGCTGGAACACGCAGGTGCAGTTCACATCGCGTTCTTTGAGTAATAATCGCGTTCGCACGTTCGCTACTATTTCAGTGACAGGCTCAATTATATTTTATAATTACATAAACTAAAGATTAGAGAAATCAAACTGAAACGAGTCGTTGAGTTCCTAAACGCGATGTAGTTTATAATTTCCAATAGCAGTATCTACAGAATTAATTTCACGTTCATTATGTAAAATACAGGATTAAGGCCGTGACAAATGTGCGACGCTGGTAGCGAGCGTGTTAACCGAACAGAAATTATAATTACAATTGCAAAATTACGTAGATTACGACTGGGCAGTTGCAGTGAATCGCTACTGCCTCAGCATGATTTGTCTCTGGCCCAGGGACAGTCACGGGCTGAGGAAATTATGGGAGCACCTGTGCGTGCTAACGATCGTGTTAATATTCATCAGCTTTTTGGCAATCCCGAACTTGTGTTGGTTGTCCAAGCAAACTGAATTCATCGCGATCATTGATAACTTCGCGTACCCTATCTCCTTCGTGAATATAGTACTGAAAATCCTTGTCATTCACGGGAAACGGAATGGTAAGTCCATTAATATTCCGTGCCATTGGAAATTTCGGGTGTATCTTGCTTAGAAAGTGCACTGATTTTTCAACCCTTTGCGGTCGATGATTCTTTAACGCTAGAACTATCCTTGATCTTTTTTGCAATTGGTGAAGAGGATAGCTGTTTGAGAGATTACTAAAGCTGATTAAGTAATACCTGAAATTTAAAGCAAATCTTAATAAATCCACGTTTGTAGTTTTTATAATGAAATTTTCAAAAGTCAGCTTAAGTGCTCGGTAGTTCTAGCGTTGAAGTATACAGAATCTTCAACAAGTTACACGTCGAATGGTTAAGTAATAGAGGATAAGGAAACTATGAAACTGTGTACGAGTAGTTCAATCGTTTGTTTGTTACTTAGTATTCCAAAGATGGCAGTTCAAGTGACAATGGGTTAACTGATAGATTAACCCCTTGCACTCGAAGTTGAATATTTGAAATATTTGAACATTCTCCGATGAGATAAACACGATATTTGTGGAACTAACTGGAAAAGAAATCATACGTACATCGAGGAACAAAGCTATTTTATCTCAATATTTCTCGAACTAAAACGTTATAAAAGGTGCAACATTTCAAATTTTATAGTTTCACCGGTGAGCAAAGAGTCACCATTGAAGCTCTCGACTTTTCAGATATTTCCATATTTCTTCACTTCCTCTCGTTTCCCAACGTGTACCATTCTTCAACACGCGTCTCTCAAAACATATTTCCTTACAAAAATTCCATGCACCATAAATGGCATGACACGCGTTAATTGGATAGCCAATTGCGGCCGTACGCGCGGAAACAAATTAAATTTAGAAAACTGTAACAATGTTGACGAACCGTGCGCCAACGCGACGTTAATACGCTTCTTCCTTTCCGCTTTTCCATCAAGTGCTGCTGCCGGTTCTAAATATGATAGCGGAGGACTGGGCTAAATCTAAAACGGACAAGGAAAGGGCTGTCATGTTTCGCTACGCGCGAATCGCTCGGGTGGTGAACAAGTTCAGCTGCGTAGCCGGGGCTGTCTCATTGACGCCGATAATCGTTCTGCCGATATTTGGCGTGCGTATGCGGCACACCACAGGTGAAATAGACAGATTCCCGATTCCAGCCGACTACGCGTACGACGTCTCGCGCAGCCCTTACTACGAGATGATCTACGTCGCGCAGATCATGATGCTGTGGGTGATGCTGATGTGTTACTCCGGAATCGACATGTTCTTCGGGACAGTGGTCCTCCACATTTGCGGCCAGGCGGAAAATCTTCGAGCTCGTATCGCGAGCGAGAGGAGATTCGAAAATTTTCAGCAGGCTCTGGCGGCGATCGTGTCCGATCACACGCGACTCAGCAGGTATTAACGATTTTCTAGCCGTTTGTAATTTATTATAATACGAATATAATTTGTAACAATGTCTTCAGAGCGGTGGACGTGATCGAGAACACATTCACGGTGATACTGCTGATAGTGATGCTATTCTTCGGAGTGATCAGCTGCATGTACTCGACGGAAATCATTTCTGTAAGTAGATTTCGCCGGAGTTAAAGCCAATTTAAAAATAACAGATTTTTCTAGATGATCGCAGAGAAGGACACGTTCTCCTCGATGCGAGTGCTCTTCATGCTGCTCGCCATTAGCAGCAGCTTCATTCAGATGTCTTTTTATTTCATCGCTGGACAAGCACTGGAGAACCAAGTAGGTAAACTTCACGCGCTTGCACGAGTCGGCTGTGATTATTAAAGTCACGGTCATAGTCTCAAGGTATATACGACGCTACCTACGAATGTGAATGGCTGAATTTGAAATCGAACGAGATGAGAAGCTTGCTTCTCGTCATGACGAAATCCAAGAAGCCGCTGTTCGTCACCGCGGGGAAATTGTTCCCTATGACTATGCTGACGTTTGGCAACGTGAGTTTAAGCTCTTCGATTTCTTTTTTAATTATTCAACTTTCTTACTTGTTTCGTTTATTTTAGATAACGAAGATATGCTTCAGCTACATATCCTTCTTACTCACCAAGCTGTAACAACGCTGATGGAAAATGATGGAAAATGTTCGAACAAACCAAGGGCCTGTTAGATATATTATTTACCGGTTGGATGTATAAAATATTTGATTTAACAGTAAGAGAGTTACGGAGTCAGCTGTGTAGTACAAAGAGGAATTTATTATTGTCTTAACATTTTTTCTATTTCATTTTAATATGCAAGATTATATTTACCGTTTAATGCACGTGACACTTTTCTCAGTGATCTACATTAGTGATTTTGATTGAGCAGTTTATTCCGGAAATAGGCGTATATATGCACATACGTACAGAAATGACTGAACTTTTTATCCTTGTAAAAATATTACAATAATAAAATACGTCTACCGCTGCAAAAAAAACAACAGAAAGTATCGATCAATGAAAGCTCTTTACGCGTGCGGAAGTTGCCGGGCAAAGGAATCCTTGTGAATGCTGATTTCGATTAAAGGTTCAGCCTTTATTGCAAGTATAACGAGATTTTCCGTACGTATATGTAGATACACATTTCACTATAAGTATATTAGTGCGCAATCGTACGAGCATTCAATTATGTGTACGTATATCAAATTGTTTTATATGTACACTTAATCCGAACAGTCGTATAAATATATATATATATTTCTGTGTACCCTTAACTACAGTAAATTAATTTTAAATTGATCGGAAGCAATATGGAGGAAAAAAGAATTATGATCGTACACTATTATTTATAAATTATATGTTACTCTTTACGACGCAGTTTTTATTTTCCAATGTAAACGAATAACCTTCGCTAATAATGGTTAGACTGCAAATTGATTTAACCCTCTGTTTATTGATTTTGCACTCGAAGTGGTGAATAAAATTAAGTAATCAGTTAACTTTTATACGCTCAGGTATGAAAGTTTAACGTCACTGTAACTTGAAAGTTACAAAATATATTCGTTTGATGAAACTATTAAAACTATTGAATATGTTAATTCGTATTCATATGTGGATATCTATTAATTTTGTCCATAGATTTTATATAATAATGAACAGAAATTCGACCCATAAAGGTTTAAACAAGTGAGTATTAATCGTTGCTCTCTCATCGAGTTACAGATTTATTTAAAATGATTTATCCGCATTTATTACGAATGTATAAAACAGCTGCACAGTGAAACTATACGAATAATCATTGAAAATGATACTTGCCAGGCACCTATGATGCTGAAGATGAAAGAATGTGTTTCGAGAAGTACGATAAAAGGCGATCATCGCTACACCGTTGTTCCCGCACAACTACCTTGTTCAAAATGGAGAAAAATGTGGCTGCATTTGCTCGATCGATCGTTCCTGCAAAGATATTAAACATGTACACGCGAGAGGGAAGAGGCGCGCTTTCCTCCTGTTCTAAAGTTTCACGAAATAAACGGTTTGCAGTAGCTACCTTTCATTCGCGAGCACTTGATCGAACAGAAATTACACGACGTAACGATAATATAGAAATATTTCAATCGCGCACGATACTCCCCGATCAAATATTCAACGGCTCTGTATCACTTTGCACTCGCCCCCGCGCTTAAACTTCTCACAAAAGTGTCGCAACGTATACTTAACATTTCTGTTCGAACCGGTAGCTAAAAGGGAACGACGGGAAGGTTCACTCGAACGCGCGCGAGTTTCGTCATGAGTAACTCGAATTCGGTGAAGCACGCAGGTGTAGTTTACTTTCGCGTTTAACATCGACGAGTTTGACGTAAATTCTTCATTTCTCTTTTGTGTTTGTCAGATCGCGCGAATTACGACTGGGCCGTTGCAGTGAACCGCCAATGCCTGGTCATGATCGGCCTCTGGCCTCGGAACACTTTCGGTCGGAGAAGATTGTTAGAGAACCTGTACGTGATGACGATAGCCTTGATGATTATCGGTTTTCTGGCGATCCCTAGTTTCAGGCTGTTGATGAAGCAACAGGAATATATATCGATCATTGACAATTTCGGACTTCCTATCGCTTTCACAAGCATCATACTGAAAATCTTTGTTCTTCACGCGAAACGGAACGGTGAGTGAACTCGAACATTTGTGGAAATTCTTCGTTTGTTAGGGAATCGACCCTCTGCGCTCGGAAGTTTTTCATTAGAAATATTGTAATGTTTTCCGATAAGATAGAAAGCATGTGAAACTACGAGAAATCACAGTGAGGGACAAAGCTATTTCTTCAATATTTCTCGAATTGAAGCGTTATAAAAGGTACAATATTAAATATCAAATTTCACAGTTTCACCGTATGAAATCTTGTTACCACAAGATTTACCAATGAGAGTCACCTCTCGAGCAAAGGGTCACCATTCGAGCTCTCGCCGACTTTTCAGATATTTCCATATTATTTCTTTACCTTCTCTCGTTTCCCAACGTGCACTATAGACGTTATTTATGCAACATCGTCGCAACAGTTTTTTAATTGAGTCTCTTTTCTCGTTTCTGTTGAAGTGCTGGTGCCAGTTATAAACATGATAGCGGAGGACTGGGCGAAACCTAAAACGGACGAGGAAAGGGATGTTATGTTTCGTTACGCGCGAATCGCTCGAGTAGTTAGCATATTCAGCTTCACATCCGGAGTCGTTTCAATAACACTGATGATCGTACTGCCGAAATTCGGTATACACATTCGACACACGACGAATGGGCTCGATGTGTTCCCGGTTCCGGCGTACTACGTGCACGAGGTCCCTGAAACTCCTTATTTCGAAATAACATATGTCGCACAATGTATCATGCTGTGGGTGATGTTGTTCTGCTACTGCGGAATCGACATGTTTTTCGGTACCGTGATCCTTCACATTTGCGGCCAAGTTGAAAACCTTCGGGTGCGAATCGAGAACGAGAAGAAGTTCAGAAACTTCAAAGAGTTGTTGGCGATGATCGTGACGGATCATATACGACTTAGCAGGTATCGTGCCTAATCAATTCTGTAATAGATCAATTGTAATCACGTCATTTATTCAACACTTAGTCAACCGCCTAAAAACTATAACTGCAACCTCTTCCATTATCTCTAAACTCATTCAATTAACCCTTTGCACTCGAAAGTTTTTCACTAGAAATATTCGACACTCTTTGATAAAATATAGACGATGTAAATAATTTAATCGATAAATTAAAGGACAAAACTATTTTGCTTTGATATTTCACATAGTGACGTTATACAAAGTTTAGTGTTAAACATCAAACTTTATAATTTTACTGTATCAAACCAAGTGACTGAGAGTCACCTCCCGAGTGCAAAGGGTTAATTTCCTTAAAACTTTGTTCTGTAAAAGCAAGAAAATTTGATGAATTGCAAATAATCTCACGTTAAGACTGACTAAACAACAAAAGAAAAGATAGACAGAATAAAAGATTTCCTCATTGGCTGAGTGTTACCTTTGCACTCGAAAGTTTTTCACTAGAAATATTCATTCTTCGATGAGATACAATGTTCTTTGAACTAATTAACGAGGAAACATATACAAATTCAGAAGGAAAGTTATTTAAATGTCCCATGTATCGATGCATCATACAAAGCTTAATATTGTCGGAGAAAGAGAATTTTATTAGAAACAGTAAAATTATTTCTTGACAACTCACAATAAAACACTAACTAAATCAAACAACGCACCATATACTCAGATGCTCTTGTCTCACTCACACACTTTCTAGAACATTCTTTCATTACCATGCATTAACTTCACATATATTTGGACTATCCTAGATTCATAAAAGAAACGAACATTATTAACATACAGAGAAAATCAATATAATCTAGAATATTCCAATGCTTCGAACATTCATTCAAAACGCGCTCCCACACGCGTCATTCATCTATTACACACATTCATCGCTCATCAATATATCTATTCACACACTCAAATACATCCACTCTCACAGTTGTATATATAAGACTTTATAATTTTGCAAATCAAATCGAGTGGTGACTTGAGTCACCTCTCGAGTGCAAAGGTCAATATTAATTCGAGAATTCTAAATGACAAATTCTTTACAATATCTTCTCAGAGTGGTGGACACCATTGAAAACACATTCACGCCGATACTCTTCGCGGTAATGCTATTTTTCGGCGTGATCACTTGCATGTATATAACGGGTATAATTTTCGTAAGTAAACGAATTGAAGCGATCTCGAAAAGGAATTCTAAAGAGGATGAATAATTCTAAAGTTGATTTTCAGATGTTCGCCGAAAAAGGGACGCTTTCTGTGACCCGCCTTTGCTTTCTGGCGTTCACTTTGTGCGGTTCTAGCATTCACATGTCTCTTTATTTCATCGCTGGACAAACATTGGTGAACGAAGTAAGTTGAGCCCGTTTGATCCTCGTTTTCCTCTCGTTCGTTCTCATGCGTGTAATCGGCTCGTCATTCACGATCATGAATGTTACGCTCGCAGTCCGAAGCCATATACAACGCAGCGTACGAGTGCGGTTGGATAAATTTGAAGTCGAACGAAGTGAGAAGCTTAATCCTAGTGATGGCGAAATCGAAGAAACCGCTTTACGTTACCGCCGGAAAATTATTCCCGATGACTATGCTGACGTTTGCCAATGTAAGTTCAAACGTGGCGCTCCTCCCTTTCTCTTTTCATCGGAACTTTTACTTGGTATTCCGTTTTCTTTCAGATAACGAAGATATGCTTCAGCTACCTGTCACTTTTGGTCACCTGGTTATAATAGGATCCGTTCAGAAGAAAGTGGCAAAAAGTGTTCGATCGGACAAATGAACCGTGCGTTTTAGATATCGTGCACGTACTCGCTGTGTAAAATATTAATATAAAGAACAATGGATTTGTATAGGAAATTCAGCACAGATTTGAAGAAACGTTTTATTGTCTAGCATTGTTACACTTTCTCTAGGATTTCAATTGTTATGGCACCTACATCATTTCCGAACAATTTTCCCCTTTTCAGTGGAGTGTACATTTTTTAAAATATTTTTACTAATAGTAAAATAATTAGAACAAAATAGTCACCTTTATACAAATGAAGTATTAATATAAAGAACAATGGATTTGTATAGAAAATTCAGCACAGATTTAAAGAAATGTTTTATTGTCTAACGTTGTTGACGAATTTTCTCTAAGATTTCAATTGTTATGGCACCTACATCATTTCCGAACAATTTTCCCCTTTTCAGTGGAGTGTACATTTTTTTGAAAATATTTTTACTAATGGTAAAGTAATTAGAACAAAATAGTCACCTTTATACAAATGAAGTATTAATATCTAATATCGTTTTATCATCTAAGATTGTTAAACTTTCTTTAGGATTTCAATTATGGCACCTACATCATTTCCGAATTTTTCCCTTTTCAATGGAGTGTACATTTTTAAAAATATTTTTACTAATAGTAAAGTAATTAGAACAAAATAGTCACCTTTATACAAACGATAAATCATCATCTGGCATTGTTAAACTTTCTCTAGGATTTCAATTGTTATGGCAGCTACATCATTTCCGAATAATTTTCCCCTTTTCAGTGGAGTGTACATTTTTCGAGATTTTCCACGAAAATTCCGATAACGTAACACGTCTACGGCTACGCTGAAAATGGAAAAAAGAGTGATCAATGGAAGCTCGTTATGAGAGCAAAAGTTACCGGATAATGGAATCCTTCTAAGCGTTTTGCTTCGATCGATGTTATTATTGGAAAAGTGACTGTTCCACTGGCCAACATATACGTGTAACATACGTTTGCTAGTTAATCTCGGGTATAGTAACAAAAAATGGAGAAAGAAAATTATTTGAATATTTCTTTTCCACCGGGAATGATAAAATGACTTGGAGACTTGAACTTTTATCAGGTCCGCCATTGCATTCCTATTCCGAAAATGCAATTCGATAATAAAATTCGGGAGAAATATATACATTCATTGTATCGTTATCGATCGCGATCATTCAACTCATCATCAAAGTTCCGTGTCTAATGTATTACAGAGAGGTATGGTCAAGCACCGAGTTTACGTATGCGCCTACGTATATGTGTATAATCGCATATAGATGCGTGGTATTTATGTAACGTATGCCTGTCATGTGTAGTGGAAAGACCAGTATAGTTTTCTGATACAGAAGAAAATCGATCGAACGAGAAAACGAATTCGATTCGTTTGTGAAAAAAATCTGTTAATTTTCATAGTAAATAACATATGAGTGGCCGCATCACCAGGAAGAAAGAAGGAACGGAATTAAGAAATCTCAATATGCGCGTTTTGCTTAACGAGTGAAATGTATGATCCTCGTTGTAAGTATAGACACAGAAAGATTGTTTCGTTAACGGCTAGATCAGCGAGAAGCTTAAATAAATAAAATAACCGTGAAACGAGAGGAAATGTTTTGTATATAAAAAAGAGTTTACGCGTTTCCATTCTCTCGAGCAGCGCGTCATCACATTTAAGGTTACTCGACACTGTATACTATTGACCGCAACCAATTTTGTGCAACATGATTTCTTCTTTTCATTCTCCACTCAGCTTGTTCACCGCGCGAACAAGATACGACCGATCGAATAAAACGATTTCACTTTCAGAACAAAGTGTAGCAAATGGAAGATTTTAAAGTGAAAGATGAACCAATGGATGCATTAAACATAGACAGTCAGGTTATGGTAAACGTTTTCTATGAAACAGCAGCACCATACAATACAATGCTTCTGCAAGGACTCTAACTTAAAACCTTACTTTAAGGACGAAAACATTGTAAGCGTTGTACTTAAAGAAGAACCTGGCGATAGATTCGATCCCGACTACATGGAGGACATCTGCTCTGGTACATTCGAGAAGGTATTTTTACCTATCGAACATAATGAAGTTGATTTTTCTAATGAAATGGTAAATTTTAATGTTATTAGTACCGTGTTTCTGTCGTTCTCAAACAAGAGTTATTCGATTGAACCAAAAGCATTCATTCTAGGTGAAACTGGAATTGGATGGAGAATCTAACAGTCATCCAAATTGGACAGCTCAGATAGCTAATGCAAATCTATGCGATAAAGAAGATGGAGCTATTCAGAGATGTTTGGCAAATGCTAATTTCACTCAGCCACAAGACACGGACAAACATTCTGGGTTTTGCACGAATGGACAACAACCAAAATTTTATAAAATACAGTGTTCCATTTGCAAGAAATGGTTTTTGAATAACGACTCGATGGTTACACACTTAAGGATGCATTGCAGTGGTAGCCAATGCGAAGTTTGTCAGCAAAACTTTCAAGACAGTTCAAGTTTACACGCTCACATGTTAACTCATGTTGGAATGAGTCCGTTAGAGTGCAATGTCTGTCAAAAACGGTTTGCTTACAAATGGTGTTTGCGCAGTCACATGCAAATGCATGTGCTGGAAAAGCCGTACGACCCTGAAGCATTACAAGAGGCGTACATGAAACGGCCGGATTCTGAAAATGGTCAGTCGATCAGCGCCGAGGATAGAATATTCGAATGTGACGTTTGTCACGCAACTTTTAAGGAAAAACTCAGCCTTAATCGTCATGTGCTTACGCATACCGAGGAAAGGCCGTACAAATGCGATATTTGTTTTGCATTATTTCGTGAGAAAGCAAAATTACATACGCATATGACACTACACGGGGGCAATAAACAATTCAAATGCACTATGTGCCACAGGTCGTTTTCGCAGAAAACAGCGCTGAACAATCATATGTTAGCGCATAGCGGCGAGAAACCCCATGCATGCAATATTTGTGAAAAAACGTATAAAAGGAAGTCAGAACTGATACGGCATACGATGGTGCACACCGGCGAGAGACCGTACGAATGTAAAGAATGCTTAATGACCTTTCGAGAAAAGGCAAAATTGAATTCTCACATGCTTGTACACACAGGTGAGAAACCCCACGAGTGTCACATTTGTCACAAAGCTTGTGCAAGAAAATCAGATCTTAATAGCCACATGTTACTGCACACCGGCGGCCAGTACGATTGCAAAGTGTGCGATAAAATATTTACACGGAGGTCGGATTTAAATCGGCACACTTTGATACATACAGGCGAAAAGCCATTTGCCTGCGAGTTATGCGAAATGGCTTTTAGAGAGAAGACTAGGCTGAATTCTCACATGCTTATACATACCGGTGATAAAAGGCACGCGTGTCACATTTGCCAGAAAACGTTCAAAGAGAAGTCCTCGTTGCGGAAACATATGTTAAGTCACACCGGCGATAGACCGTACGAATGTTACGTTTGTCATAAAGCGTTCACCCAAAAAACAACTTTAAATAGCCACATATTAGTCCACGCAGGTGAAAGACCGTATGAATGTAGCGCATGCCAGAAAATCTTTAAAGATAAGGCAACGTTGAAAAAGCATTTATCAGTGCACGTTAATGAGAAAACACACGAGTGTCTGATCTGTTTAAAAAAATTTGCCCACAAAGCTGCATTAAATAGTCATTTATCGACAAATCATACGTCCTAATTAGAGAGATCTAGTCCAATTTATTTGTGCTTTTAGTTTATTTTTATTAAACACCTGCGTACGTCTATAGTTGCATAACGATGATTATGTGTACGTATATACAACTGTTTTATATGCTCACTCGATCCAAACAGTCGCATACTTTCCTGTATATCGTTAAGTATAATAAATTAATTTTTAATTAATCAGAAGCAATTATTTCCAATACTCGTACATTTAGTTTACTATTATACTCCAGTGATCCGTGTTTTATAAGCCGTAATGGAAACTTTCTATTGTGTTACGATATTCAGCAGTACATACTGTATTTTTTTTTCTATTTTAAATGTACACGTGTAATGAAAAATACAGAAACAATGCGCAAATTGCGATTAAACTATTTCTCTAATTATGTCAGATTATTTGTTGAATCACCTTAACAGATACTGTGCATTAATAATTGTCAATTAGCGTTTTTGTAATAACTATTTAACTTGTTGAACTTATAATTAGTATTTTTAAGAAATTAATAGTACCATCTGTAATAATACGCTCAAACTATATATCAGTTGGTAGCGTGTATTGTCACCAGATGGCGCAGTTCAAATATATGTATACATGTATGTATGTATTTTCCATTACAGTGAATTCAACGTACAAGTTTTCGATTTACAACTTTTCTCAATAAATTAAGTCAAATGAGAAGAGGACCGTGGAAATGGAACTGTCACAGAATCTCCAGATTTCGTCCGATCCAAGTACAAAAGGATTCGACTTGTCGGCTGGAAAAACATGGATATATCCAGAAAATTATCCTGTCAGAGATTATCAGTTTAACATAGTCCAAGCTGCAATATACAATAACACCTTAGTTTGTTTACCAACTGGTAAGAGTAAACAAGTGAGAAGATAATCGACGGAATCAGTAATTATTTTTTGTTGTTGATCTATAATAGGATTGGGAAAAACATTTATCGCTGCAGTTGTTATGTATAATTTTTGGAGATGGTATCCGTGTGGAAAGGTTGTATTTTTGGCACCTACCAAACCTTTAGTTGCTCAACAAATTTTTGCTTGCCACAATATAATGGGTATACCTAGCACAGAAACTATTGAACTTACAGGTAGAAAAGCAACGTGATCGGATTTAAATACTTTTTGCTTTTTTTTTTAATGTAATAGTCCTATGTTATAGGAGCAACTAATCAAAAACAACGTGAAATAGCTTGGTTTAAACAAAGAGTGATATTTGCTACACCTCAAGTTTTTCACAATGATCTAGAAAAGAACATTATACCTAGTGATTTAATAAAATGTGTGGTTATTGATGAAGCTCATAAAGCTTTAGGAAAACATTCTTATTGCGAGGTACTTTTTGTTAAATAAAAGACATATCAAGTTTTTAATTATAATTTTCATAAGAGAAATTTCAATGTTAAATAATCTATTTTTGTTATATCCTTAGTGTATCAGAATATTAAGCGAAAAACATAAAAATTTTAGGGTACTAGCCCTTTCAGCTACACCAGGAAATAAAATTGACAATGTTCATGAGGTAATCTTTATTAATATGAATTGTCCCTGATAATTATATTGTACTTTCTGCATTTTTATATGAATTTGTAATACTGAATAAATAATGTTCCTTTAATAGGTGTTACAAAATCTATGTATAGCTCATATGGAATTGAGGGATGAAACTTCCCCTGATATTATACCATATATTAATCATAGAAAACTTGATATAATTTTGGTACCTCTTAATCGTGAATTAACCGACTATAAAGAGAAATATATTCTCATTATGGATCGTCATGTTAAAATTTTAATTCAGTACAATGTTCTCCGTGGACATACAGCCAATATTTCTAAAGGAAGGGTAAATCATGATGTTACACATATACGTATATTACCTATACACACCTATAGTCTTCATTCATAGAATAATATTTTGTGTCCAGTAGATATTTCATTTATTGAAGGAATTCCAAAAAAAAACGAATAAGTCCGGAAGTTACGGAATAATCATAAAAACGTTAAACATATTAATGACTATGTATCATGCATACGAATTGATGATCAGGGATGGTCTTCGAGCGTTTCTTAAATTCTATCAAAGTAAGAAAATAAATGAAATTTTATTGAAACGATAATTGTCCACATTTTGTCATTCTTATGCATTTGTTATTAACAGATCATTCTGATAAATTTTGGATGAACGAGGAAATACAACTGCAGGATTTACTCCAAAATATTGAAATCTACCTCGGTCCTTTCCCGGATGCAAAGTCTTTATGTCCAGAGTCCATTTCAAATGTTTGTAAATATTCAATTTCTACAGTAAATAGCGTGCACAATGTAATAAAAAAATTATTTTTAGATTCCACAAAATCTTATATTCGGCCATACGAAATTTGAAAAGCTGAAAGAACTGCTCGAGCATCACTTTAATAAGAATCAAAACGAAGAGAATGATACGAGGGCGATCGTTTTTGTCGAGGTAATTTGGAAGACCGATTTAGGCTGCGATTACTCTAGATGCTTTCTCAGACGAACTAGCATTCTGACGAAAAACATCTGAAGATCGTACTTTGGCGTATTAAGTTCATTGGAACGCCAGTTCGTCCTACAGATTTATGCATCGCGTAGAAACTGCAAAGACGTCTATTAATTTACACGTTGCATAGTATAGGGATATCGTAAGCGAGATTTATGTTTTATTGCTGCAATGCCAACCATTAATAAGACCACAGATGTTCGTTGGTCAAGCTGGGCAGAAGCAAAAGCAGCAAATACAAGCTTTGAAAGACTTCCGAAACAATCGCGTTAACGTTCTCATATCTACAAGTATAGGTACGAAACGCATAATAACGGATCAAAACAGTAACAGTAAAGAATCGGTAATAAAAATTTATCCCCCATATTTAGGAGAGGAAGGGTTAGATGTTGGAGAAGTTGATCTGATAATATGTTTTGATATATCTCAACATTCACCTACACGACTCGTGCAAAGAATGGGGAGAACTGGTCGAAGACGTGACGGACACATAATTATCCTTGTTACAGATGGAAGAGAACACGAGGTAAGTAAATGACAAATGCCTGATATAAAGAAATATATGAAATTTGAGTGTCAGTCTCCAGAATAGTAATGTACAAAAATTACAGACACTAAAATCCACGATGGCTAGAAGAGATTCATTGAACAATAAGATATTAAATACAAGCAACGTTTTCTCGTCTCTTTATCAAGATAATCCGCGCATGATTCCCGACCAATTAACTCCCGAATGTTTGAGAATGTACATTACCGTGCAGCCAAAGAGTCCGCCTGCCAAAAGAAAGAATGAAAAGAAGAAACCAGAGAAGAAGTCGACTAAACGTAAAAATACTTCTAAGAAGTCTACGGTTATAGGTATTTAAAATAATTCAACGATATTTATTCTGTACCTTTGTCACACACATCTAAACGTACGCGACACGGATGTTTTAGAGTCTAACCCGGTGTCGCAAAGCAGTGGGTCCCAGTCTTTAATGGCATTTTTCCAAAATAAAAAACACGAGGATGTCGTGGACGACAACATTTTTAAAACGCCGAATACGCAGTGCATTCAAAGTAACAACGTTTGTAAAACGATAAAACCGTCCGATGTGAAAATCTTGTCCTCTGACAGTGACGCAGTCGACTTCCTAACAGTATGCGCTTTGAGAAACTCCAAGAAAGATCCGAGTGTAAGAGAAGAGAATGATCTGAACAATTTTTGTCAGCCAACGTTTTCTACTATTAAAGATTTCTTTAATTTCTCCATACCTGACATAAATGTTCTCAATTGTTTAATCACTCTGAACGATATTCCCCGAAAAGAACACCAGGCAAAAATGGATTTGGAGACGGAATATATGGATAATAAAATTGATTATAACGACGACGAACAAGAATTTGCAAGTATAATTCTAGAAATGGATCACGACGAATGTGTCGTTGGAAAATCGAATTTCGAGGACTTGCTCGACGACAGTAGTAAGTCGAACGAGAGCGATGGATTGATTGTCGAGGAAGAAGGAAAGGAACATATAAATAATAATATAAATTCTATTTCGACGTTCAAAAAACAAACGATAAATACAGTCGCGTCGCCCACGTTGGAACTTGGTACGTTTGAAGACATATTAAACGAGATGTCCGAGGACTCGGAACACAATATTTTAGTGGAAGAAACAGAGCCAACAAAATGCATCGACATCCGCAACGATGCGATCAAGAAGACTGAACTGCTTAGGAAAAATTCTGAAGTAGAGAATAACATGGAACTACCAGACAGTAGTTTTGCAATAGTTAGCCCGAGCAAGCGTATTACGGATAAAGATAACGTCACTCCGCATACGCACGTAGACACAAAAAATAAAAGTTCACTTACCATAACGCAAGCGATCAAAGAGATAGCGCTAATCAACTCAAGCTCGTCGCACGCGCAAAATACAGTCGTTGAATCTGAAGATGACATGTTTCAGGATGAAAGCATCGTGGCTGTAACCGATAACGTTGAGGATTTCCAGTGGACAATTCATTGTTCCAATGAAGAAAATATAACGATTGTAAAAGATCCACACAATGAAAATACTCTTGATAATGAGAAGAAAACGATCAATACAGAATTTAAAGTAGACGAGTACGAATGGGGCGACGATTTCGAAGTTTATACAAATTCTGCACCGAGTAGCATCGTGTCGAACAAACCCGAGAACAAACCAAAAAAGACCTGGAGCAACGATGCATGGGATTCGGACGATGAAAGTTGGTTCTCAGCTGAGAAATCATTCAAAACCTCCAGAAATGTTTCCGGCGTAAGTATCGCGAAGAAACTGGCGAACGTAAAGGAAAGTTTAAGCTCGCAGAAAGAGAACTTAAACTTCCAGCGCAATCGTAGCCTAAACTTCAGCAGACTGAGCAAGAGCAAGGTCAGTACGGAGAAGAATCGCGTCAATGAGAATAACCGAAGCATCAGCTGCAACACCAGTTACTTCTTCGGTGATCTGAAAGTTGACGACCAGGTGATTGACAGTACCAAGTCGAAGCGATTCGAGGTACTCTCCGCTCGGAGTAGCAAGCGCGTTCGCAGGCGGAAGAGAGTGAGAAACGAGTTCATCGACGACGAAGCTCAAGTTTCGTCGAACGACGAGAACGAAACGACGGAAGGGAGCTCCGGAACCGACCAAGATCTCGAGGATTTCGTGAGTTACACGCAGAACGTGCACGACACCACGGACATGCAAGCTCACTATTTGCAAACGGTTAGGAGTCCGCTGAAGGGGTGCAATGGATTCCTCTTCAAACGGCCGCGCACTCCTGACGCCAACATTGAAATATATTCACAGGCTGTGTCGCAGGCTGACGAGTCCTACCTCAACGTAAGTGAAACAAGAGTATACTCGAGTCTCGACGATTTTCTATTTTGTTCTCATTCGACTTTCCTTTAGGATTCGTTCTGCGTGGGGGAAGAGGAGCCGTCCATTCGAATTGAAGAACTGTCGGAATTGGAGAAGGCGGAGCAAGAACTGGAAAGGAGGAAAAGGAAACGCATTCCCGTCGACGAATTGGACAGGGTGAAGAAAAGGAAGAAAAGGGTTAAAATGAGGAATATAATAAATCATTCCAGCAGCAGCGAAGACGAGACTGAGAGATTACGCGAGCAGATCATGGAAGAATCTATTTTGTTAGCGCATTGTAAACGCGCAAGCTAATTGTAAATGTAAATATTTAATACACTATATATCCAAATATGTATTTGGAATATTCAAGATATTGATGTTTCAAGATGGTTAAGGAGTTAGTGAAATGTGTGAACATTTTTGTATATAAATTTTGAAATATAAATACTCGATCAGGAAACCTAACTTTTGCTTCATGTTTCGTTCCTTAGAATACCTAATTCGAAATGCCAAGGGTCGGCCTAAAATCATTAGTCTCCATTTCGAACCATTCCAAGCGTAACTTAAGTATCCCGGAAAATGATTCCGCGAAGCGGCTACCTGCTTTGAGTCTGCAATTTTTGTTTCCCTAGATCGTTAACCCGGAACCGCCCAAGATACAATGACTCGACCGACACAATGAAATTAACAATTTCCACGGTTCCGGCAGGTAGATCGTTCCAAACGCGTAACAAATGCCCTTCCCATCGACGAGGGTTGGTTCGCGAGACCAAAATTGCCGACCCTTCGCCAATGTATATAAACCCGGGGCAGCAAAAATCTTCAGCTTAGTCTCCGTGTTACCAGCGATCGTTAGATCTCGGAGATTCCAAATATTCTGCAAACGCCTGAAATAAAACCGAGAAGAATGTATCGCAATCTGATGGTCTGTCTTCTGGCGATCGGCTGCAGGGGCGCGATCCTGCCGAGCAGAGATCAATTCACCACCGAGCAAGCAGAACAGAAAGAATCAGTTCACGAGGGGTTGTTCCCTAACTCTCGGACCAGCAACCAGCAACAACCCGACCTGTCCCACGAAAATCGAGCGTTGAGCAGCAACCAGCACTTCTACCCAAGTTACTCGGAGCACAACAGCGGCTACTCAGCCAGGACAGGATACGAGGGCTACCTGGTTCCAGTTTTAACGCCGCAAAGGGAGTCTCACTGGGTTACCGAGATCGCAGCCAGCGTGCTTCCATTCTCCGCTGAGATCCTCGTGTACGGAGCGCGAGTCGGGGCTTCGATTTTGCACCTGCTGTCCACGATCCTCGTGGGCGGTGCTTTCACGACGATCGTCTGCACGTTCACCCCGATCTGCAGCATCAGCTTCTTCGGATTCGGCCTCTCTAAACAGCATGTAATGCGATAGCTACTCGAATCTTACGGAAGTAGCGAAGCTCGCGCTCGATCTAACGAAGAAATTCGATTTTCTAGGTGAAGGAGCAAGTAGCCGAGCTAGCCCGAGCCTACGTGACTCCCGAAAGCGTGAACGCAGCCACGATCTTAGCTTCAAGGGCCATCGAGAAGTACACGGCTCTGCAACGAGAGAAACAGGAAATTGCAAAACGACCAATGGAGGAAAGAACGGTCGCCAACGCAACGTGACTTCTCTTACAGCGTGACCTCCCTTAATCTCCGATTCGATGTTTCATAGGAAATATACTATGTATTGTGTTGGTTCGATAGAATCTCGGATGAATTGTTTACACGACTCTAAATAAAGTATCATAAATGTCATCAGCGAATTTTTCCTCGTCGATATTAGCGGAGAAGTTATAGGAAATCGGTTAACTGCGTTTTTTCCGGTCGTGAATCATCTTTAACGCTCCTTTTCCCGGTCGATTCGTCCTGTCGGACGCACAGTCGGTCCTCTCCGCGTTGCGACGCTTCTCGTTCGTCGCGTTAGCGGTACGGAACACGAGAGCTAACAAACGGACGGACAGACGCACGGACAAAGCCGACCGACCGGTTCTCCGTTTGGTGAACGCCGCCGGATGAGCTTGGAAAACAACATTGCCATTTTGTCGCGGCGCGTCATCGGATCCGGCGAGTAGCGCGTAGCTCGAGCGCTGACCGACGCGAACGAATCTCTGCAATTATGAAGACCGATGTGTTAGGTAAGTTCTATTCTAGTATCTGAGAACTGTTCCGGTATCGTTTTACATCTCGCTCTCGATCGAAGTCGAGGAACCGGTGCCTCTTCAGTCGTTTGAACGCGAAACGTAAAAATTCTAGGATACGTGACGCTCGTGTGCATCGTATCGCTCGCGGGATGCGGCTGCCAAACGACGGGAATCCCCGCTGACGCAAACGACGCTCCGCAGGGGATAAACCTCGCTGCCAAAAACTCCAACCAGAATATGGAGGACGACTTCGTGCCCTTTCAAGGGGAACGGTTCTCCACTTTCGATTGGATGCTGTTCAAAGTAACTATCGGAAAGCTTTCGAGCGACGTCCCCTTCGTTATGCATTCTCACGTGTTCCCCGTTCCATTGTCAGGCGGTGAGCAGGAGGGAAACCGGGAATTTCCTTTTGTCCCCGGTATCGCTGAAAATCGCGTTGGTCTTGCTGTACGAGGGGGCGCAGGAACAATCCGCCGACGAAATTGCCAGCGCGATGCAGCTGCCCGGCTCTCTGCCGGCCGTTCGCAATAAATTCGGCGATATCTTGCGGTCGCTTCAGGTGAGATATTCAGAGTTCGCGAACGCTATCTCGCTTCGAAGTATAATCTTCCGAGTGTGACCGTCTTGCAGGAGAGTTCACCGGCGTACAGTCTGAACATTGGAAGCCGAGTCTACATTGATTCGAACATCGTAATCAGGCAACGATACCAGGCTATCTTGAAAACTTTTTATGGCACTGACGTGATTCACGCGAATTTATCGAACGCTCGTCCGATCGTTGAAAGTGTCAACGGCTGGATCAGCAACGTTACCAACGGCAATATACAGAAAATGATAGAGGACGGTGAGACATCCGGAGGATGATCGAGCGGATGAGAGATCCGGGTAACGGCGAATGCTCTTTTTCAGAGGACAAAGTCAAGGAGTCGCTGATGCTGATGATGAACGCGGTCTACTTCAAGGGGTCGTGGTACCGCAAATACTTCTCGCCGGAAGACACGCGGATCGGATCGTTTCACGTGGATTCGAAACGGACCGTTCAAGTTCCATTCATGCACACCAATCGTCACTTCTTTTATTCCGAGTCCTCGGAACTGAACGCGAAGATTCTGCGCATACCGTACGACGTACGCGAAACCGCAATTCTACGCGTGTATCTCCGTTCGGTTGATTTTATTCCATTTTGTCTGATCGTAGGGAAACAAGTTCTCCCTGTACCTGATACTGCCGCAAACTCAAGACGGAATCGGTCAAGTCGCCGAGAACATTAACCAGTACGTGTTGACGCGACACATGTGGCTGATGCAGGACTTACTCGTGGACGTTATGATTCCGAAATTTAAGTTCCAGTATACTACTCACTTGGAGCCTGCTCTGCGCGAGGTACGTTAATCTGTGCATCCGCTGCGACTTTACGGCCTGCAGAATTCTGTATGAACTCTATTGAATATTTGCTTTTGTTATTAGCAATTATGTTTCAGCAATGACATGACGCTTTGCAATTCGGTGGCAGTCTCGGATCGTTTCATTTCATTTAGTCTACGATCAAATTATCTTCAAAATGTTTCTTATTTTTTTTACAATATTGTATCAGTATATTTCTTACAATAAGAAACAATTTTGAAGATAATTTGATAATTATAGACTAAATGAAATGAAGCAAATGATCCGAGACTGCCAACGAATTGCAAAGTGTTACAGATTACACTGTGGAACAAATTTTAACCTATGTTGCTTTTTGCAATAACCACTAGGTGATTCTTATAGATGGTTATTGCAAAAAGCATAGGTTAAAATTTGTTCCACAATGTAATCTGTAACGCTTTGCAATTCGGTGGCAGTCTCGGATCGTTTGCTTCATTTCATTTAGTCTATAATTACCAAACTATCTTCAAAAGTGTTTTTTATTCTAAGAAATATACTGATATAATATTGTAAAAAAAAAAATAAGAAATATTTTGAAGATTTTGATCGTAGACTAAATGAAATAGTGGAACAAATTTTAAGCTATGCTGCTTTTTGCAATAACCATCTATAAGAATCACCTAGTGGTTATTGCAAAAAGCATAGGTTCAAATTTGTTCCACAATGTTATCGTTAATGAAACTTATTCGCTAATACCATAATATTCATTTGCTCCTGTTCACTCGATCAGCTCGGTATCCGTGACATTTTCGACGACACGGCTTCTCTGACGAACATAGCCATCACCAGGCGTATCTCGAGACACCTCAAAGTGTCGGACATCGTGCAAAAGACCGGAATAGAAGTGAACGAGAATGGAACTACAGCCTTCGCGGCCACTGGTGAATATTCCCGTTTGGCCTTCCGCTAATATTTCGTCTGCCGACACTGTCGTCAAGCGGTGCCTTTCGTTCCAGAGGTCGAAATTGGGAATAAAATCGACGGCATGACCTTCCACGCGAATCATCCGTTCGCATTCTTCATCGAAGACGAGTCCACGGCGACGATCCTTTACTCGGGCAGAGTGGCGAACCCCAGCGATGCGCCGGAGTTTCAGACTCACTTCGCGGACGTACCGGACGCAGGTTAATCTTTTTCGACGTATGGTGCAGTTGATTTCATGGATGCTCGGTGGTGAACGGATTCACGCGAAACGTTCCTCTTTACTCGACTATTCTCTGCCTATTCTTCAACCACTTTCGCTTCTATTTACCTCCGGACGATCCCGTCTGACCTTCCCAAACCGGTTTCGGATTTTGCGTAACTTCTTCTTCCTCCTTTCTTCTCATTTCTATCGGACCGTTGGCGTTTAACGTTATCTTAGCTTTAATGTAGCGAAAGTAATCAATAAATACTTAAATTATTCCGAATCCCTGCATGCGTGCGTTTGTAATTCTTCCACTTAAATACGCAGCTAACCGTACTCCAAGCTACTCTGATCCCTGGGATCACACCCACTCCTGGGCTACAGTTTTACTCGAATACAGGAACAGCTTAATTTCTTTCGGGACTCTGCGGAAAAGAAACACGTTGCTGGTTTTCGGTATAAGTAAACGTTGAAGGTTTGCGGGAGACATTAACGTGAACATATTTCTAGACTCCAACTTGCAGGTCGGCCTGAGAGCCGATGATCGGGACAATCTCTTCAACACGTACTTTATGCAGGTGAGAGAATCGTCCGTCCATGAATTCTTTGAATAATTTTCACGCGTTAAGCGCCGTGTCAAGCGTTGATGGATTCAATCTACGAAACGAATTAACATCGTGTATGGCGTCATTCCAGGACTTGAGTAATGAATACGTTGGAAATTTAGTATCGTCACCCGCCAGCATTAAAGCGGCTTTGACTATGCTCACCGAAGGATCCGACGGAGACACGAGATCAGAAATCGTGTCTACTTTGAGATTACCCGACAGCGAGTCGAGTATAAGAAAGAATACACAACGTGTTTTGTTATCTTTGAAGGTACAGGAACATATTGAGAATTCCACAATGCTGGATAATTAATAAGCAATTTAGATATACGTGTAGGCAATGTTTCTGATTTCGTTTACAGAAAAACGTAAATGGCACCGAAATTGATCTGTCGACTTGCTTTTGGATAGACCAGAAACTGAACTTATCGGATAACTATACAAAGATCTTACGCTCCCATTACACAGCAGATGTAAAGACTGTCAATTTTGCGAATCCACAGAGTGTCGCTCTTGATATAAACAACTGGGTTCAGCGAGTAACACGCGCGCAAATTTCTTCACCTTTGGTACAGAATGTTCCTCCTGACACGCAGTTACTGTTAACTTCGGCAATCTACTTTAAAGGAAAGTGGTTGAGAGCCTTCGACAAGGCGAAAACGAGAGAAGAATGTTTCTATATTCCAAACGGTGAATGCCGGAATACTCCGTTTATGACCCACAAGTATTTGTACCGCTCTGCGTACATATCTTCGATAGACGCGGACGTTTTAGAAATTCCATACTCGGTAGGATGAATGGCTTGAACGTAATTATTGAAATGTCGATGTAACCTTTGCTGTAACTTATACGTGTGATTTTTAGGATGGCAGAACATCGATGTTGATAGTAACACCGAATAAAAGAAATAAGGATCGGTACCTACGAATATTATCCAGAGATTTAGTTACTGTTCCTGTTTCCGTGTTGCTGAGCAGTTTAATGGAAAGAAGTGTTACAATCCATGTACCAAAGTTCAGTATTGAAAACAACCTTAATGTAGTACCTACATTACAACGTGTGAGTACAATTATTTATGATTTTCTTTGAAGATACGAAACAACTGCTAAAGGATATCCTTGAAGGTACCAATATGATAAAGTAACGAATCTAGCTGGACTATAAGGGAAAGTTTATGGTTTCATATCAGTTGGAATCCTCAACATTTTTCTTTATAGTCCTAGTAAACTGATTAGCTAACTATATTGTTACCTTTAACTGTGAACGTTAATTAGAAAATTACCATTTTTCAGTTGGGTATCGAAGGTATATTTAATTCTAATGCAAGGTTAACAATGATCGCGTCCAACGATACCCTACATGTAACAAATGTATTGCAGAATGTTAAAATAAATGTTGATGAAGAAGGAACAGTAGCTGCTGCAGATACAGGTACCTTAATGAAAATTTCTTCTCTTAACGTCTCTTTGCTACCATAAATCTATATTATGTATTTAATGAAAATTGATATTTACAGAAGTAGGATTTGAATTTCTTTCATTGCTGAATAATGATATTAAATTGGATAGACCATTCTTATTTTTGATCGTGGATTCTGTAACAAAGACAACACTATTTTGCGGTCGTTTCATGGAGCCCCACCAATAATATTTCAGGATTACTTTCTTTAATTATACATGTATGCTTATTCTTTTTACTTTTTATTGTTTAGATCTTATATTCAAAGAAAATAAAAGGTGCTTGTTTAATAATAACATTATAAAAAGAATGAAATCATCACGCATTCAAAAGATTATTCTTTATTTATATTAATTGGAAACATAACATACCTATTTAACTAATAATGAATGACTCGCATTGTTTATCTATTCATATTTGTGTTTAATATCTTTCCATAGTTTCTGAAACAAAAATGACATAATGTAAGATTAAAAATATTATTTATTCCCTGAGAAATCTATAGTCCTGTTATGCAACACTTTTTAACTATATTATTATTTCGTTTCTCTTAAAGAAAGAATGATAATAACCATGTGTAGTATATAACCTTGTTTCCTCACAAAATTAAGAAAATTTTGTAAAATCAATCTCAATAATTTACCAAAATAAGTGATGAACTTTAACTACTAATAATATGCACTGAATAGTAAGAAATAATTTTAACTTATGTCATCTGAATAGAATATTAATACAATTTAAAACATGACTTTAAAATATAAATATTATTCATACAAACCCCCTTGTTAATTGATTCAAACGCTTTTGTAGTCGTTATCTCCAATGTTCGCTCAAACAGAAAAGCGCCCACCAAAATGGCTACGGTGAAGGTAGAAGATCTTTTAAAAATTGTATTATACAGAACTTTCATTTGAGACATTTTTCTATCTTAAATTATTCCACGTAAAGATGTCAATTCTAGAATATAAGTCTCTGAACGTTCCACGTTCGTTCAACTTAATCGTAATATCCCTTTCCTAATGCAGAGACACCCTTGTACCATACGTCACTGCAGGTAGTTGATTCTCACATGAAAAATTGAATACTTTGCAACGCCACTCGTGTTGCATATCGTAACTAAAGAGAAAAAGGGAAATTATATTTGAAATTATTTAAGTATTTAATTAAGACGATTAATGATTGATAAATAAAATTTGAAATTGATGATCACATAATATTAATGTCGCATAATAGACGAATCATATCAGTTTCTTTTTTACCAATTAATGATAAATTACAAAGTGTTAAATGGCATTGGTTTTGATGTATCGATAATATAGAAAATCAGACAGAAAATTTTATTGCATGAGGCGTTCGTACATATAAGTTCATGGCTCAAAAAGAGGCGGAGAACTTCATAACTTCCACTATCAGTGCTTGTGCTAGAGTAGTTTTCTGAAATCTGTTCAACGTCTATAGTACGTACATTGTCAAAGACGGTTAGACAGCAAAATACGAAAAGTTGACATCTACCATGCAGGCGATTAGGGATAAAGCACTTCAAGATTATCGAAAAAAACTTCTTGAGCATAAAGAAGTTGAATCACGATTGAAAGAAAGTAAGATCCGTTTATTATTTAATTTATTGCACTGTAATTAGTACTTTTATTTACATAACCTTAATCCTATACACTAAGCTATTCTCAATATTTGCTATCAAAACAATAATAGCAACAATTCTATTTAACAAATTATTATTTTTTAATCTTTATGGTTTTAGTGCGAGAAAACCTCAAAGATTTAACGAAACAATATGATAAATCAGAAAATGACCTGAAAGCTTTACAAAGTGTTGGGCAGGTGAAATGATTTTTATTTAATCTTACATATTTTAATATTTAAATCTTAAAAGTATGAATATTTTAGATTGTTGGGGAAGTATTAAAACAACTTACAGAAGAAAAATGTAAGTGATCTAGAAATGTAATGATACATGATATTTTCAACTAAACACTCAATGAATATATTCTTATATTTGCAGTTATAGTAAAAGCAACAAATGGGCCACGTTATGTTGTTGGTTGTAGACGACAACTCGATAAAAATAAGTTGAAATCTGCAACAAGAGTGGCGCTTGATATGACTACTCTTACTATAATGCGATATTTACCACGCGAGGTAAAATCTATTTTATTAAAATATTTATATAAGAATGAAATTAATATAAATTGTATATATTAATTAATGTACATAGGTGGATCCATTAGTATACAACATGTCTCATGAAGATCCTGGTGCTGTTACATATAATGTAATTGGTGGTTTGAGTGAACAAATAAGAGAATTAAGAGAAGTTATAGAATTACCATTACTGAATCCAGAATTATTTCAAAGAGTGGGCATAACACCACCAAAAGGATGCCTCTTGTATGGTCCTCCAGGAACTGGAAAAACATTATTGGCTAGAGCAGTTGCCAGCCAATTAGATGCAAATTTCTTGAAAGTAGTATCAAGTGCTATTGTTGATAAATATATTGGTGAATCAGCACGGTTGATTAGAGAGATGTTTAACTATGCACGGGATCATCAGCCTTGCATTATATTCATGGATGAAATTGATGCAATTGGTACCAACATTATAATTTACAAAAATAATAAGACAATGATTTTATAATATTATTCATTTTTACTATACAGGTGGACGCAGATTTTCTGAAGGTACAAGTGCTGATCGAGAAATTCAAAGAACCTTAATGGAACTTTTAAATCAAATGGATGGTTTTGATTCTTTGGGTCAAGTTAAAATGATAATGGCAACAAACAGACCAGACACTTTGGACCCAGCTTTATTACGACCTGGTAGATTAGACAGAAAAATTGAGATACCACTGCCTAATGAACAAGCACGTTTGGAAATTTTGAAAATTCATGCCGCACCTGTATCTAAGCATGGAGAAATTGGTAAGAAATTATTTTGCAAGTTTCTTCTTATTATATGTATAGCATACTAATGCTTTCAATTTGATGTAGATTATGAAGCAGTAGTTAAGCTGTCTGATGGATTCAATGGAGCTGATTTGAGGAATGTCTGTACTGAAGCAGGATTGTTCGCAATAAGATTAGAAAGAGAATATGTAGTGCAAGAAGACTTCATGAAGGCTGTAAGGAAGGTCTCAGACAACAAGAAACTTGAATCGAAATTAGACTATAAGCCAGTATAATTGGAATATATTGATTATATTAACTTTAAAACACGATTGATTACTCATTAACGAATGTGTGGTTCAATAAAACGAATTTACTTTATTGTAATACTATTTGTATTTTATAATAGAAATATTTGCTTGATAATGTGAATTCATTGGGTAAGGTTTAATGTCACAGACTGTACAATTCAGCTTAATTCGTCCATTACGAAAAGACGTGATTTCTTGAATGGCAAATATTATTCAGTAATATTTGAAAGACGTGTTTTTTTCCTTTCCAGATATTCTTGTACATTATCATACTTTCTTTTATATAAAATTGGAAATAAATTTTGTTTAATTGAATCTTTCCTCAACATTTGCCAAATATTATTTAATTTATTTAATTTACAGTTTGTTGCGTCACTGAGTACGAAATTATTTTGTTCAAATTCATATACTTGAAAGCCTACTTCATTTAGTATCCACAAATTTCCTTTATAAAAATGACATTCTATAGGTTCATTATCTAGAACTATAGACTGAATATATGTAGCTTCAAATTTTGATTCTTTGGTGCCATTAATGATGTAAACCAATAACAATGTGTTATCATAAAAGCTCATCACAGATAAAGATGATGTAGCATTAAGCGCAAAAAGTCTTAAATGTTTAACAGGTAATATTTCTACTGTTTCATCTAAATGACAATCCCGAAGCTTTTGATTAAAGTTATCAATATCAGCTTTAGGTATTTTATCGCAAAAGTCAACAGACAATAATTCCTTTCCATTTCTATAGTCCCATAAAATAAAAACACCATCTCCACCACAAGACACCAAAATGCTTCTGTCATGAGGCAATTCTAAAATGTTTGTTACAAATTTTTTATGCCCTAAACAATAGGACACAATATTATATGAATTCGGAAACATTGATACTCTGATCTTCTCATCTCTATCCGTGGTAATAATATATTTTTCATCTTCTGTAATCAGTACATCAAGCAACATCGACAAATGCCCCAACAATAGCACTGCATTGTCAGATTTATTATTTGGAAATAGATAAGCATCTCCTGTTTTATCCGCAACAACTATATCATTACTAGGTGTAAATCGTACTTTGCTAGCTGCTCTTGCTAGTGTCCGATTAAATAAAAGATTTTGATCTTTTCTTTCGTAGAGGCACAATTGTTTGCGATTCGTACAAACAAAAAAATATTTCCCATCATTTGAGAATGTCATATTTGTTAGAGTATGGAATGCTTCCATAGTTACATTATTGTGTAAATCAATCTTTTTATCCGTTTGCAGTTCAGGTAAATGGATCGTTTTATCCATACCATTTTCAAGATTGTATATCACGACTTGCTCGTTTGTACACAGAGCAATGTCTGAATCATATATACAAAAGCTCATACTTGCAACATGAACTTTGATAAACGAAATGTTTAGAACCTATTCGGAATTTTTCACGCAGGAAGATGTGATGGTTTACATACGTAAAAAACACAATATTACATATAAATACATTATAAAGTAACAAGATCACAGTAAATTAAATTCATTCTTTATGTACAGTTAATTTTCAATTTACAAGTAAAAACGAATAAACTTCGCATCTAAATGGGACTCCACGTGCACAACACAAATCGCATACAATATAGCTGTACATATGTATTACCAACGTTTAGAAAAAACTAACACCGTTGCATTAAAAATGATCAAAATGAAAAATAAAAATATATTTACCATTCATCGCCAGCTAGAAATAAAAATTGTGAATAATAAATAAAATCTTTTAACGTTTATGAATTTTATGTCATATTTGTTAGTATCTTTCTATGGAAAAGAATTTCTTCATTTAATAGGCAAAGTATGGTATCACTGACGTAGACTCAATGTATATTATAGTCTTCAAGAATGTGTAGCAATAGCATACGATGAGATACGGAACTGTCTCTTTGTTAGTACCTCATAAAAACACAAACAAGCACTGACGTTCCCCCCATCTCTTTTCGAAGTAGACACCTTTTGTGCAATCCACTATTACAGATATAAAACACGTTGTGTATATATAAGAGAAACCGTTAGTATACATCAAAGTATTTATCCAAGATAATATAAAGCATTTAACATCGTGCGAAGAGATTCTGTAAACATTTCTTTGTTCTCACGCTCTTTGTAAGATTCAATCAAATCGTTGATAATTTTTCAAATATTAAACATTGCACGTGTCTGTTTAACAATTATAGTGTAAGAATTTTTGTGTTCTCAGATTTTGATATTTATTCTAATTAAGTGACACATTACACGTACTTCGATATGTGGAAACCATTCGAAGCTGGTAGTTCACCAGTTGACTGGTGCGAACGTAATTACAGCATTTCTTCTAGTATAGCAGAATTTATGAATACGGTTTGTATTTTACAAGAATAATAATAAACGTGTACGATGTTGTTTAATCAACTTTTGAATGCAACAAATAATAATAGACGTTTAATTTTCTTTATTTATAGCTGAGTAATTTGGTGTTTTTATTGCTTCCTCCTGTTCTTATGCATTTGTTCAGGGATTATGGAAGATTTGTGAATCCTGGAATTCATGTAATTTGGTTTTTATTGATGATAGTAGGGCTCAGCAGCGCATATTTTCATGCTACTTTGTCTCTTATAGGTGAGTAATCCTTTACTGTAAATATGAAAATGATAAATATAATTGAAATATTTCCTTTTTATTTTAATAGGGCAATTGTTAGATGAATTAGCTATTTTATGGGTGTATATGGCAGGTTTTTGTATGTTTTTCCCAAGAAGATATTTTCCAAATATTTTACACAATGACAGAAAACTTCTTTCTATATGTGCAATGCTACCTACCCTTATTGCAAGTGGTTTATCATTTATACATCCCGCGATAAATGCATTTGCATTAATGACTCTTGGCATACCAGCATTTGGATTTATGATAATTGAATTAAAAAGGTAAATAATGAATGTTTATAATGTAAGTATAAATTAGTACCAAGTTACAATGTGTTATACCCATTTTTAAGGACCAAGAACCAGAGAGTTTATAGATTGGGTTTAAGATGCGGTGCTGTTTGGTTATTAGCGGTCACTTGCTGGTTAAATGATCGTCTATTTTGTGATACATGGTTAAACTTGAACTTCCCTTATTTGCATGCGCTTTGGCATTTGTTTATTTTCATTGCAAGTTACTCGGCAGCTGTGCTTTTTGCTTATTTCTCTGTAAAGGATGAAAAACCACATCAATCTGCAGTATTAAGATATTGGCCAAAGGATGACTTTGAACTTGGTATACCATATGTAACAATTAAGAGTTACATTAAGCTTGATACAAACACAAATATATAAATGTTGATATAGAAATTAAGAAGGCTGCTTTGCGTTTATCAATCAAGGATCTTAATTTTGAAGACTAACAGATAAAACACAGTAGATCTTTAAGTATGTTCTTTACTTTGCTTATTTTAATAACTTAACTTTGTACCAGTGTTTTTACAAAGATATATTTATATATATTTTACATCTGTCTATGCTATATAGAATGTCTGTTTAAATTTGTGATACTACTCTAGATATTACTTTTTGTACAAATATATGTGGTTAAGGAATTAGTAGACTATCTTTAGAAGAGTGCAATATTAAGATAGAACATACAAAACATTTATTCTCTTAACAGATGTGAATGAATATTGTTCTAATATATTTGTGTATATTGAACTGACGTGAAAATAAAGTTAACCATTTATTATTATTTTATATTAGTTAGTGTGATATCAAAGAATGGAAAATATATCTTGACTATTTTTTTTCAACAATTATATATTATTTTATATATTACACGTTTACTTGACTATAATAAATTCAGTATCTTATGTAAACAATTTATACATTATTGTATTTACATATATAGATAAGGAGACCAATATTTTATGTGTGATCATTAAAAATACATTGTGATATATTTATGTACTCTTATATGTGAAAAGTATATCTTATTTGAAAATTAACTAAGTATTATAATTCATTCTCTCCTCTATAAACAACAATGTTTTTGTCAGTTTCATAGATTTTTACCTCGTATAATAGTTTTGGATTAGGCATCAAATTTTTTAATTCATTAAATATATAAATGGCTACATTTTCAGTAGTTGAAACAACATCCTTGAAATAAAGTACATCCTTGTCCAAGTTTTTATGATCCAACTGTTCCATCAGGATTGTTTTCATATATGATTTTAAATCTGATAAATTCATTACCATACCAGTTACAGAATCCACTGGTCCACGCACAGTGACTTCAACTAGAATAAAAAGAATTTATGTAAGAACTAATAAATATTCGAATAATAACAAAAAATACCTGTATAATTGTGACCATGTCCCCAATAATTATTACATTTTCCATACACGTTTTTGTTTTCTTCTTCTGATAAATTATCGCTAAAAAGGAATTAAATTAAATAAATAATAATATAATGAATATCGCAGATACTGAAAAATATAAGTTACACAATACAGTAAATTGCGGTACCTATGCAAACGGTGACAGCTGGAGATCGTTTCTTTTCTAGTTAAATAAGCAATCGGTCGTGCCATTATATGTTATTTATTAAAAATATAATATTTATATCTTTTATATTATTAAAAGTTTATAAAATTAATTATTAAGCGAAAAGTATATTACAAAAAAAATGATTCAAGGATAAAATGATTTCGCTTATTCCTTCCTAGAGCTCTACTTTTTTTTTCAATATTATTATTTTATCATT